CCCCAAAACCCCAAAACCCCAAAACCCCAAAACCCCATCAAGAAAAAATTGCAAATTTAAATGAATAAAGTATAGGTTAAATGAATTAATTAAAAAAAGGAGATTGAAGGAGATTATCAATATATGTATATGATTTCATCGCATCTTGGAAATTAATTAAATTACTTTTTTTGCCACCTTTACTCTATGAATGCTGCTAAACTGATTAATATTTTCTATTCATAATTAGAAAAACTTTTGGATTGCAGAGAATTAGTCTATAATTGGATTAAAATAAAAAATAATGTACTGAATGGACTAGTCTTGAAAGCAACACAGCAACTAGGAACATTAAGCTTTTTATTGAATAATCTTAGGTTTGTAGTTACAAACACTCTCTTTTCTTTTATGGCTAAGGCACATATTTATTCACTTTCAAGCCCTTTTTCTGGAATTTTGCAATCAACTTTTCTCTCTTGAAGCATCTTTCCAACTTTGAATAAAGTCTTGTCAACAATGAATCCAAAGGACTTCATCTCAGGAGTAAGACCTTTACTTGGGATAAAGTCTTTTTCTTTCTTTTTATCACCACCGCCGAAATTTCTCTGTCTCTCTTATGGATTGAAGATAGCAGGAGGTCTTGAATCCAAGAATCCATTGCCCTCTTCATCGTCATCATCTTTTGCAACTGGTCTGTAATGTCTATTGTCAAGCACTCTTACATGTTTTTCAAGATGACAGTTACACTCCTCACCTTACTTGGCTAAGTTTTATATAAGATCTACCAATATATAGGCATCAAGTGCACCGTAATGCTATTGAGATAGTCTTAGAGGTCTTCTCTCCCAATTTGACATTTGTTCTTTTTTACAAATTGGCTTTCCAAATGTTTTCTCGCAAACTTTAGCTAATCCTGTCATAGGTGGAGATTTAGTTACAAGACTGAAGTAATTTTGAGCATCGATGAAATTGTGGATATATCTGTAGAATTTTAAGTTAGGGAATTTTCTTGCAAACTGTTCAACATCTGAATTGAAAGCGAATCCTACAATTGTCACATTCTTGTGCGAGAAAATATCAGACAATTTATTGTCAAGGTCCTTGTCGTCTTTTAACGACACAAAATCCAACAAATAGGATACTTTTGAACCACTGATCTAGAAAAGAGATGGACAAGTTTTATGGAACTTAGTAAGTTCTGGTCTCCATTCTGAGTCAACTCCAATAAATGGCTCATCAAAAAGTTAATCTAGTTTTTTTATATCATCATTAGTTGTAATGAATTCAACGGTAACATGGGGAGGAAGTCTCAAGTATTCTCCAACTGAAAGTGGACCGAATACATCATAAGGAACAGGGTCCAAATTAGGATTGTATATAACATCATTAAGCTGCTCTCTAACATCTTATCTTAGTGTATCATCTAAATAATTTCTCAAAACTACACCCTTAGCTTCATTCATTTTGCCTTTAAAAACCAAATCCTCAACTAGATAGGCGAGCATAGGTTTGAAACCAAGGAACATGTCCTCGATTCTATCTAGACTTAAATAGTCGTCAGAACCTGGTTTCTTATATAAAAATCTTCCTAAATAGTACCTCATGCTATTTTTCATAAGTCTTTCTTTGACTTCTGGGAAGTTATTTATATCAAATCTGAACTCTTTAATCATCTGAGCTGCTATTTTGCAGTTATCATTAGTGCTTAATGCTTTGATAAGATAAAGTTTCAACTCCTCACTATCCTCGCATAGTTGCTTGGCAGCTGGCATTCTGTTTGAGTCTATTAGCTTGTCCAAAATGACTTTAAGATCGAATAAATTGTGAAACTTAAATTTGTAGATGAGCAATGCTGCCTCGTGAAACTTGTTTTGAGCTACATACTATCTTGCTAGATTCTCGAAGAAATTCTAGTCTACATGGTTTGTCAACTTAAATTTAGTGACATAATCTGAAAGTAACTCAGCTCTGACACTGGCTAGTTTATCAAGAGCAATCTGCTGATGTCTTTCAGTCATCTCAATCTCTTTCTCTTGCATTTGAATGTAGAGGTTATTCAGAAGAATGCGACTTATGATATTCGGTACTTTTTCGTTGAGAGAACATGCCTCAAGGAGACTAAGTGAAAAATTTACTACATAGTCTGATTCACTAGCTCCTTCTGGCTCCTTTTCAAAAATGCATTCCTGTCTCTCAGGATTTTATCTCTAATTTTATCTATAATCAACTCCTCTCTCGAGAACTGCAGGTAAGTCATTCGTGAAATCCTAGACAGGGGTTTAATTGCAAAGATATTTACAGTCGCATTGTGCTTTAATTCCTTTATCCATACACCGATAAACTCTGCTGCTTACTCAAAAGTTTTGAAATTATAGACTATAGGAATGATTCATCTTTATTTTTACACTTTCTAACGAATTCTTTATTGTAGAAAAACTCAGCATCATCATTGTCATCATCTTCGAATTTCAAAGTTTTGCCTTTCTGCTTTATCTCCTCTAATTGATTGGTTGATTCCATCTTATAAACTTAAAATTATTATATATAAATAATCGCAACAATTCTTAAATTAATTTCATCCACCTATATTGACTTAAATTGGCCTTAGGGGTTTTGGGGTTTTGGGGTTTTGGGGTTTTGGGG